GCCGGCCGCCACGGGGTCCACGGCCGAGACGTTGAGCGTGGCCGAGGCGGTGGTGTTGCCGGCCGAGTTCGTCACCATGCACGTGTACTGGCCGGTGTCCTGCACGGTGACGTTGGTGAAGTTGAGCGTGCCGTCGTGCAGGACGGAGATGCGCACGCGGTACGAGCCGTGGGTCATGAGGGTGCCGTTGGGCGTCAGCCAGTTGACCGAGGTCATGGAGGTGCCCGTGCGGCACTTGAGCTCGGCGGCCATGCCCTCGGTGACGTTGAGGTCCGTGGGCGGCTCCACGATGACCGGCGCGTAGCAGGTGAAGTGCGACTGGTCCAGCTCGCCGATGTAGCGCCCCTTGAGGCCGGCGGGCGCGTGGCAGCGGGCGCAGCAGGTCGTGTTGCTGGGCACGGTCTCCTTGAGCCACCAGCTCAGCCAGAGCACGTCGCAGTTGCAGTGCCAGGGGTTGTGGTTGAGGTGGACGCGCTCCAGGCGGTGCAGGGGCGTGAAGAGGTCATGGGGCAGCGACATCAGGTTGTTGTGGGACAGGTTGAGCTCCTCCAGAGACTTGAGGTCGTCGAAGGCGTTGCGCTCAATGGTGGCCACCTGGGCGTGCATCAGCCACAGCTTGCGCAGGCTGGTGAGGCCCTGGAAGGAGCCGGGGCGGATCAGGTCCAGCCGGTTGCCCGACAGCTCCAGCTCCTCCAGGCGCACCAGGGCCGTCAGGTTGGGGATGTCCTTGAGGTTGCACATGCCCAGGTTGAGGTAGCGCAGGTTGACCAGGCCCTCGAAGGCCGCCTCCGAGATATACTCCAGCCGCTTGAGCTCGCCCAGGTCGAGGCGCCGCAGCGAGGGCACGCGGTTGAAGGCGTACGAGGGGATGCTCTCGATGGGGTTGTTGCGCAGCCAGAGCTCCCGCAGCTTGGACAGGTACTCGAAGGCCTGCGTGGGCACCGTGGTCAGCCGGTTGTCGAACAGCTCCAGCGTGTTCAGGCTGGGCAGCCCGTTGAAGGCTCCCACCTCGATCTTGCGCAGCAGGTTCTTGCTCAGCTGCAGGATCTCCAGGTGCCGCAGGTGCTTGAACGTGTCCGTCCGGATCACCTGGGGCGGGGGAGGGGAGACACTGGTCAGGGACCCGCGCGCGCCCACGGGAGTAAGCTCCAAGCCGCCGCGTGCGTGCGTGGGAGCGTGCGGGCCCCCGGGCGGAGGAGTGAGACCGGAAATGGGTGGACTGTTTCCTAGGAACACAGAACCACGCCCCCAGCCCCGTGACCCAGACGTCCCCCCCTTTACCCCCTTCCCCGCGCCCAGCTTTTCCCCTGGGCAGACGGGAGCAAGGGCCCTCCAGCTGCTCGCGGTGGGTGCTCACGCCCCTGTGCTCGCTACGGCCTGAACCAGAAGCTGCCCAAACATCCGTAACCGGTGAGGGACAGACCGGCTCAGTCACGAAGAGAGACGCGCTGTCGACACACACACACACAGGACGCCTTGACCCCCTCTCCCCCGCCCAGCTTTTCCCCTCGGCAGACGGGAGCACGGGCCCTCCAGCTGCTCGCGGTGGGTCCTCACGCCCCTGTGCTCGCTACGGCCTGAACCAGAAGCTGCCCAAACATCCGTAACCGGTGAGGGACAGACCGGCTCAGTCACGAAGAGAGACGCGCTGTCGACACACACACACACAGGACGCCTTGCACGGGTCTCATGGGCGTCCCGTTGAGCGCGAGGGGCCACACGCCCAGGTGCGTGCAGAGGGACCGCGAACGTCCCTCGCTCTGGACGTGCCAAGCAGTGTCTCTGAGCCTGTGTTGGTGGCGGGGACAGGCTGGAAGGGCCACGAGGGAACTGCCTGGGGGCGATAGGAATGTTCCAGATTGAGGTGGCGGCTCCGTGGGTGAGTGCAGCTGTCAAACCGTACACACGAAACGGGGGCATTTTATTACATGTATTTTACACCTCAATAAAAAGGACTAAACGGCAGCCAGCGTGGAGCGCGCCGTTAGGGCCAGACCCTGTTCTCAACGCTTATGGGCGACCGACCTAACCTGCCGGACACGCCCTTACCTAACACCTGCAACCCCGAAACCCGTAGGCTCAGAAAACGGCGATGTTTCATACCTTCGGCACCAAATCCCACCCGGTGGCAAAACCCGATCGGAACTCGTGTAAGCCGGTTAAGCCTTTTATCGATCCCACCCACGTGACCGTTCAAGCCTTTCACTCTAGAAGCGTTCTCGCCTTTGAGGAGGGATACGGGACCCACTGGGGCGCTGTAGAAGTATGTGCCACCTGTACTGCCTTCCTCATGTCAGAATGCCAACACGTCTGGCCTCGAGGGCTTCACGTGAGCGATGATGAACTATCCCCATTGAAGTGGGAGAGAAAGGGAGGCGCAGAGAGGGGCAGGGACTTGCCCAAGGTCACGCAGGAGGGGATGGCGGACCTGGGACCCGGCCGAGTCCCTGTGACTCCAGAGTCCTATTTCTTTTTTCTTTCTTTTTTTTTTTTTTTAAGGCGAGGCAACGCTCAGTTGACCTCACAGATTGCAAAGACCTTGTTGACAATCCCTTATTTTTTATTTTTTACGCCTGCAGCATCCGGTCTTCCTAGGTGGTCTCCCATCCAAGTACTCACCAGGCCCGATCCTGCTTAGCTTCCGAGATCAGACGGGATCCGGCCGTTCAGGGTGGCATGGCCGTAGACCGAGAGTCCTGTTTCTTTGCCCCTAACCATGGCCACCGCGTCTCAGGGCTGAGGCTGACAGGCCGGAGAAGGGGCAGTGTGGGGCTGGGCCTGGGAGGCACAGTCTCACCAGACTGTCCTCGTTGATCACCATGCCGGGCACAGATGGCCGTCAGACGGCATTTCTGAAGCCTAGTCGATGCCACGGGGGAGTCTAGCTTTATAATGCTGAGGGGGGAATAGCGAGCCCCTAACAGCACATCTTGTGGTCGACGCTTCGTAAAACTTAAAAGAGGCTGAAGCATTGGGTGTTCGTACACGGCCACCAGGAGAAGGCCGTAGGAAATAGAGTGAGCTCTTCTGAGTGTGAACCCCAGCTGCTGGGGGTTATGGCCGACTTTTATGGGCGACCTTTCGCTTTTCCTTCAGCGGACAAAAGTTACTTTTACAATAAGCAGAGAAACTTTTTCTAAAACGCTTAAAACACCAGGCCGTCCCCGAGAGGCGCCCAGCATAAGGAGCGATGTTGTTCCGGTCACAGCCACACGCGCGAAGTGGTTAACGGCCACTCCACGCCAGCGCGAGCCAACGGAAGTGTGACGAGAATTGGACATTTTAAGTTTCCTAAAAGCCACGTTCGAAGGGAACCCAGAACAGGTGAAACCGATTTGAATCGTCTACTCGTTTAGCCCAGTGGGGCCCCCATGTTATGATTGCGATACGTCATCAAGATGGAAAGTGACGAACCAGGGCCTCCCGAATCCCACGATCGCATTCTGCCCTCCCAGCAGCCTGCTCGCGGGGACGTCGGGGACCCATTTTGGAGAATGGGGGCGCGGAGGCCAGTTCAGGCTCTTCTCACTCTGGAATCCTCAGGTCACCGGAAGCAGCGCACAGGGACACGAGGGGCGGGGGCGGGGGGATTGGCATGGCAGAGGAAACGCACAGCGTGGAGTTCGTGGAGTTCGGGTCCAGGAGGGGACGTCCCCGCCCCCAACCCGCCTCCTTCCTCCTCTAGTAAACACTAACCAGAGTCCCGCCATGGGTCCCCGTTAGATCACCAAGGCGACTCTTTTTCTGCTGATAAAAGCAACATACGCTCATTTCAGGAAAAAGCGTAAGAAGAAAAAAGTCAGCCACCGGCCTCCATCCCGGGTCCACTCCGCGAGCGGCCCGGGGCTGACCCTTCGGGCTCCTGTCGACGGTGTTGCGCGGACGTGCGTTCCCCAGCGTCTTTTCCCATTTTTGTTTTACGACATGTCGGTGACATAATATCCTCTGCGGGACCCTGCATTTCCCCCGTCGTCGTAGTCCATTGTGAGCATTTTCCCGTTTCGTGAAATAGGCCTCGGAAACGATTTCCGGGCGTTCCCAGGCCGCACCCCGCTTCGCGGACGGAGACGGTGGGGGCGGGGACGCAGCGAGCCCCTTACTCCCCCGGGGAGGACGGGGCTGACTCTCAGAGCCGGACGAGCCTCAGTAGATGCTATTTTGCACGCAGTGGGGTGCAAGGCTGGCTGCGGGCGATCTGCCTGAGGAAGGCCTGCCAGCGGGAGGGGGCCCCGCAGGACCTCGCTTCCTGGGCATGGATGGGCAGGGATGATGGCCGATGGCCTCAGAGGTGGGAGGATTCGGGGAGACCCCAACTGTCCCAGAGTCTCTGAGGCCACTGGCCACGCGGCTGTGCCTGCGCAGGAGGCTGGGGGTCAGGACGGGGGGCCCGAGTACCCCTCTGTCCTCGAGCTCTGGAGCCCCGGCTCCGTCACGTGGGCCCCTGCAGCCTCGGTTTCCCCCTTGGAGGGAACATGGGGAGCAGCCCAGCCCGCAGGTCTCCGCCGCCCTGTCCCGCTGTGTCCCCTCAAAGACTCAGCAACACAACGAAGGCCCTCCAGCTCAAACAGGTCCGGAGCCCGCGTCCCTCTGAGGGAGCCAGTGCGCGTGGCGGTTTCGCTCGGCTCCGCTCTGGTCCCAGACATCGTGACCCCAGCAGCCTTCTCCGGGCGGCTTTGCCGTCGGCCTGGGGACCACTGGGGAAGCACGACCCCGACGCAGGCCCTCGCTGCTGTTCCTGGTGACCATTCTGACCATCACGATAGGAGAGGGAGGTTCCCGTCATCACCGGTCACCAGGGAGACGGGACGAGGTGGACTCTGAAAGCGGAGATGGGACTGAGAAGCTGAGAACCGAAGGCTCGCCGCCCAGGTGCCAGGAAGTGCTCCGGGTCGCCGCCCCCTCTTCCCCTCTGAGTCACACTTGGTCCCGGGGTCCCCGTTTGCAGGTGGAGCAGGAGTGTGCGGCCCACCCCACCGGCCCCCCACCTTTCGTCTCTTGGCACAGCACCCCCAGAGGCAGGCTGCAGCAGCGTGGGACCCGGAACCACCCGCCACCTCCCCGGCCCGCGGGGTCAGCCGCAGCTCTGAGGTTCTACCCTTCCGAAGGCCTCACAGCCGCTGGGCCTCCAGCCTCTCCCCTCCAGGCGTCTCAGGGGCTCGCCACACCTGGAGCTGACACCGTCTCGCCCTCCTCTAGACCCCTCCAGCCTGAGTCCCGAGCTCTGCCAGGCCTGGCGTCCGCCTGCCTCTGTTTCCCCTCCACGTGGTCCCTTCCCTTGCGGCCGTCCCCCTAACTACCTCTCAGCCAGACATCAGCTCCTGGAACTCACCCCTAAGATCCTGCACCTTTGTGGCCGAACTAGGACTCAGAGGTACTTGTCCTGGATCTAAACCCGAGGTCCCCACCCGAAACCGAGAGGGTTCTCTGCAGGCTTCCGTGTGTTTTTTTGGGTGGCGCAGGCTGAGCGTTACTCGCTCATTACCCGTGTGTCGACCAGCTCGTTTGGCTTCATGCGCCTGCTATGTGTCAAGCACCATACCGTGGACAAGACAGCCACAGAGGTCTTCCCAGAGCCTGACCTCGAGACGGAAGAGGGACACTAAACATAATCACACGAACGGCCACTTAAGAGGCAATCCCCTAACAGACCGGGGGCCTGTGATCCTCCAAAGTAGTTTGACGCCCGCAGAGAAGGTGATCTCAAACCCTCTCTGATGCTGGAAGGGGGGTGGCGTGCAGGCCACACTTGTGGCCGCCGACACAACGTGGGAAGGACGAGGCCAGGACTGGTTCTTGGAGCTGACAAATCCCCCCAACCGCCGGGCCTGGCGTCTTTGGCCTGACGGGACACTCCCATTCTTCGACGTGGCAGAGGAGTGAGGCCTGGGGTCTTGCCTCTGACGGCCTCCTAACTGCCCAAGTCCCCCGGTCCCCTCACTCCTGAGCTCACGTTTGCTGAGCCCGATGTCACCCACAGCCGGCTCTGTGCCGACTGTCAAGGATACAGATGCCAGTCAGGCAAAGGACTGTGGCCTCATCAGTGACAGCCTCCCAACCCCCAGTGGGGTTTTCTTCCCTCTACTAGTGCT